GCTTTGGTCTATCTATATATATAAAGATGATGAGAGGAAGTGAAGAGCTTTGAAAAATAATCTATGAACATATGTCTATTCCTGAGGATTAGATAGACTGGTGGCTGTGTGGAATCCTATTTTGTTTGCATCCTCCGTGTGCAAGGTATGCATCAGAGGATTGTGTCCCCAATATTGATGATAAGGCGACCAAGGACTTAAGATTAAAGGTGAACAATCTTTCAAGAGCCATGTATCATCTGTGATAAAAAAAAAAGAGAGCCAAATATCATCAAAGGGGATTTGTGTGTTTTTAGCTCGACCAAGTGTTCCACTGGTGTAGAGATGCCATCTTTGTAAACAAATGGTCCAGAGAGCTACTTCATGCAGCAAGGGGTTCAAAGAATCAAGTTTGACTCAAATGCGATCAAGGGTGAAGAAGAGTGAGCAAAAACATTTTTTATGCACGTGCAGATTGTCCGCAGGTGACGAAAATGAACTGGTGTTCAAGTCCGGCCAAGGCTTCCTGTTGAGGTGGCAAGGTGAAGAAGATGGCGCTGGCAATTGGTCTGCAGTCTGTTGGGGGAACGCCATTCACTCGACACCTCACCCTCAGACTTGTCCTGGGCAGGACCCTCGCCTGCTTCTGGCCCCGCAACACCCCTAGCCGCAAGTGTGCCTCGCCCAGGGCTCGAGCGCCAGCATCGGCCTGGTGGCCGCGGGTATCAGAACACCTTCATCGACTTACCCCCGCATTGCTTGGCAAACGTCCCCGATGGGGGATACTTGACGCTCTGTTTTTACAGGACTAAGTACTGCCTGCGAGGCCTGGCCGGCTGAGGAGAACCCTCGCGGCGTTTGTTCAATTGTCGTTTGAAGGAAGACAGAGAATCTTGGTCCCCTCAAGCGGAGTTCCCGATGGCATTAGGAGAGTGGTTGGGGGTGAGGGGTCAAATGACCATAGTGTCCCCGCGTCAATGTAAGAAGTCTCCTGGCCAATCCAGAGGCAATCATCATTTTCTCTTGTCCACAGGTATAGCCTATAAATACCCGGGAGACATTACTGTATTGGATGATGAATTAATAACTATTTACTCCTGAATTAATTATTGTCCCTATTCCGCTTTGCATAGCTTAACCCTCGCTTCCCCTGTACCTATGGGACACCCTTGGCCTTCTCCATGCTAGTCCTTAGAGTGAGGGTAGGAGGCAGAGTGAAGCCCCACAATTGGCACCCACTATGGCGATCCCATCGTACTACCTACCAAACCGAACATGGCCCGCAGACCCATAATCAGGGATCCTCCCCCTGCTGATGCTAACGCCGGTTCAACCTCAGCTACCAGAGCTCAGGCCAACTAGACCGCACCACCTCTGCCTGGAGTAGCACCGACGTCAAGAGGGGAGGACATGGATGCAGCCATCCCAAACGCGTCCGTCATTGCTGCGGGACCTCCTCTCGGCGACGGACGACCTGAATGCATAGACGACCAGGAATGAGGGAGGCGACAGAGTTAAAGAGCAAGGGCCTCGCTGCCCTTGATCAAATAAGATCAACCTAAAAAAGTGTTAGGTCAAGGCCCTAGAAAGGCAGGCCTGAGTTCGGACAATCTGACAGAAAACGATCAAAGCCCAAGAAGAGCCGAGAAAGATGGATGAGTATCTTGCCCGTTTTGAGGGTACTTGGGTCACCTACCAGACCCCGACCTCCTGCCCGAACCCATCATCATCCCTAATCCCCAAATCAACCCACCACCACCCCCGCCACCACCACAGCCATACCCTCGCCTACTCCAATTTTTCGCACCCACCAACCCCCCACCAAACCAGAGGAATCAACCTCCACCCATGCCATATGACCCGAAGTCTCCGTTATCCTAGATACTCTAGACCTAGAGGCGGCCACCCGCCTACAACCCTTAGAACCTCCAAAGGTATGACGGGAATGTTGATCCTCGTCAATTCATCATGAATTACGAGGTAGACGTTGCGGCAGTAGGCAGCATCGAAGCCACAATGGCCAAGTCATTTGTCATCATAGCCGGAGATATAGCACAGAGTTGGTACGCCAACCTCCAACCTGGCTCCATCCTGTCCTAGGGAGACCTCCGCGACAAGCACTGCTCCAACTTCAAAGGTGTCAACATAGCCCCCAATCACTGAATGGACCTGTTCAACTGCAAATAGGGAGAAAGGAACCCTTGTAGGACTACTGGCGAAGGTTCATTCAGCTGAGGGCCCGCACTCCAAACATAACTGATGAGGCTATCATCCTCATAGTAGTAAACGGTTTAAGATTGGGACCGTGTTCCTCTAGGCTCACAAGGAAGCCCGAGACAACCCTTGCAGAGATATATGAGGTGATGGAAAAGTACTGCAAATCGGATGTAGATTTCAGATTGAAAACTGAGGCACAAAGATCCTAACCTCGACCTCCACCAAGATTGCCACAAAGACTCCCATACTCTCATGGAGAACTAATCAACATGAATGCCATAGACAACACACCTTCGCCAGCCCAGATTAAGCAACAAATTAAATCACAAAGGTCCCGGAGCCCCCAGTCAGCAAGAGCGACTCTAGAAACAACCTCGCAAATCGAGGGCCACCAAAAGACCCATCCAAAATCTACTGCCATTTCTATGTCGTGGGCAAGGGCGACACAACCAAGCAGTGCATCTGTTTCACCAAGGGAAAGGAATTTTAGATTCCCAATTAAGCTCAACACCGAAACTAGCTTAGTAAACCACACGCGAAGGCCAACCATCGAGCCACCTAACCCAAACTAAGCTTCCAATACACACCCATAAACTACGGAATACCTTCGCAACCTCCAAGCCACTATTTTCCAAGCTACCCAAACCTACATCAACACTATCAAACCTACAACAATCACTTCGATCCTCACCACCATACTTTCCAATACCAATCATGATCTCCTTCGCAGCCTTACACAATAACTCATCCGCCAACCCTGCCTCAAATGACAAACCCTCGCCCTGCTTTGTCTCTGCCACCACCTCTCCCACAAACCTCGCTACTGCAACAACAAGTCAAAAAAAAACCAACAACCTAAATGACACCAACAACCATAAACAACCCGACATCCACCTTCGAGGTCATCCTCGCAATCTCAGAGAAATGTACAACGATAACTAACACATTGTGTCAGACTCAACCATTATTTTTTCGGTGAGGCACCGGAGAGCTCTGGTGTGCTTTGCTTCCTTGACTCTCAAACTTGTGTACTATGTTGAAACTCTGGTACATCTCTTTGGTGCAGCACCATAGAGATCCAGTGAGTTCTATAGGTTTTCAGTAAGAAATAAAAACCCTTACTAGATTCTCCTATGCAAAGCTGCAGCCATGCTTTTGAAATTTGGTGCCACTAACTCGGTTACTATTCAATTCTGGTGCATGCACTCTGGTGGTGCATTGGAAGTATGGACTTCCACTATTAAAACTTACTCTCATAGACACTATTAAAAAACTCCATTGCATTCTTGGTGGTGCACTGTAAAATTGTGCAAAAGACTTCTTTTTGAACACTTTTTCAGATATGCTAACTCAAGTTGATCTCCTATAGGATGATCATCACCTTTAGTCCTGAGTTAGTATTTTTGTAAAAACATTTCCAAAAGTTTGTGATTTATTTTTCAAATTGGCACTCAATTCTAAATGCAATGAATTTGTTAGACCTCACAAGTGACACTTGTCTACTGTAATGCAAGGTTTTCCCTCTTAATAGTATAGCTATCTATCCTATCAATCTAGCTATTTCACATCCTCTAATCACCTCATGATCGGCTAACACTAACCCTATTGTTAAACCTTTTGCCTTGAAGTTGTCACCATACTTCCTTGCCATATTGACCAGGACATCCATGTAACTCAAAGCATCGATGTGGACTATATTTTTTTTGAAGTGATGTGGACTAAAATTTTAATCTTCACATATTACATGAAATGTTGGTCTACATGAGTTGCCATTAATTATCAAAGCCCAAATAGGGGCCTAGATGTTTTCATAAAGTTACATGCAGATCACTCCCTGATAATCAGTGATTATGTTGCCTAACCAATTACAATCATATCTGAATGTTCTTTTTACATGACTATCCATCTAAACCTTGTGTGCCAAGATGATGAGACACCCGGGTCGGATCATCTCTCAATCAGCCATCCCAGCCCACTTCTATCTTGGGGGGAGCAATTATGGCCTTAGTGAGTACCCATGGCCCATTTATTTGTCAGTCATCAAAGTTATATCTTGCTAATTTAGCAAATTTGATGTTACCCTAAGTTTCATGGAGGATAAACTGCCAAGGAACTGGTTCATGAGGCCTAGCTGTTATGGAAATTGAGTTTCATTTTGCTCTACCCTTGATGGATTTTGCTTGACAGCTGGCCGCCAAGGATCATTTTTCTTGCTGGGTTGGGGATTTTCCTTGGTAGTTTATGGCCGCCAAGGTGAATACTTGCCTATTGTTGTCTTTCTTTCCATTTAATAATATCTTGAAGTTGCTAAGTTGTGGTTCGATTGGATATATGTCATGGTAGAAGGCTTTGTCGAGCAAGATAATGTTTGTTGCTTCTGTGCTCTCGGATCGCAAGATAATTTTACGTAGGGTTTAACGCCAGCCTTCTCAAACCACTAATAGTGTCATTATAGCCTGCTACTACCCACTATAGGCTGCACTTTCATCTCCAGTGGTCGTAGCGGCAGCTCTCCCTGGAGCTGCTATAGCACCACTATAGTAGCCCATTATTTAAAACAATGGTTAGACCTTTGCTTAGTTAGATGTTGTAGTATATAGTATGATAATATTCTGAAATGTTGTTGCTCTTTTGGGGTATTAAGTTAAACCAAAAGTCTAAAGAGTGTACATGACTCATGTCATGACTCATGAGTCAACCACATGCAACTGATAATCAGTAGATATATATTGCCGGATCATGACACACCATGGTGGCGCTACTATGCCACTCTCTGGTAACCGTTTCCGCACTCTAGCTTATTACTAGCTAGTATCCACCAATGAACCTTCCAGCGCAGTTGGGCTCCCAAAGCAATAGGTCCTTATCGGGCTCTTGGATGGGCACATCCTGCAAACCAGCAAGTAGCACAGAACACAGCCAATCAGCAGTCTGGCACATGAATAGCAGTGAATGTGTTCCTAAGGAGAAACAAAGCAAAAACATGAAAGGTAGGAGCAAACCTGATAGGAATGCCATCCACGTAAATGCCGCCGGACATAAGAGCAGCAATAGCACCATCAACCTGTAGTTAAAACACATGTAGGAAATATGCACCAACGCTAATTAGTCTTGCATATATGCACGTAGAGAAAGCAAAATGAATCAGGAAGAAAATCATTTATATCTGCGAGTTTTAATGGGTCGGAAGGTGTTTAATAGCTTATAATTAAACTATTGGTGTGGATGGTAACAAACTAACATCAGGTATATCTTGATTAATCTCATATTTAATGAGTATAAACAATTTTAAAAAGATTCATACATAATCATAGCATACCGGCTCACCAAATGTGAGCACAAGAGCATAGAAAACAAATTGAGTAAAGAATACAAACAGAAACCCATAGGTCATGTAGGTTGTTCCATTGTCATTATTAATTCATCAAAGTAAATTCGGTGCAGAAAAAGTTTAACTGAGATGAACTCTGAGACTTTTTACCTCAGCAAACTCAATAAAAGCTATATTTGTGGAGCGATCTTCATTATCCAGAAGCTTAAGGCGGCAAACCTGTGATGCATTGAAATAAAGATATTGTAAATAATTCATATGTATAATCCTTGAACATAAACACAGAAAGGGTACGTGGCATTTGCAGAATTAACAAATGAAGTAACACGATTTGCTAGATTGTTGTGCCTTGCCAAAATATGCCTCACAAAAAGCTTTCAGATTACTACTTGTGACCTGTAAAAGTTAACAAGGAATAAGTAAATGTAATGGGCATACGAATCCTAATTTAGGTGAAACTAATGAAAGTTAGCTTACATACAATTTTGCTGATATTGGTGCAATATATAGTCCTCAAGCAGGTCTCCCACTCAGCTTCAGACTATACATACAGAAGAGTAAAACAAGTAAGTACATTATTAGGCATTGCAACATCTTTAGGGTGTAAATCAAAGATTGGCAAGAAAACCTTTTGACTAACCTGAGGAAGGAACTTGGGGTTAATAGGGCAGATTGCAGTCCTTGAGCGTGAAACGCTCACAGAGTTTATGCCAATAATGGTTCCATCAAGATCTAACGAAGCAAGTGCTTCATCTGAAACGTTTTGAAACATTATGACCTCCGGATTTTGCTTTACAAATAAATTTAGTTTGTGCTAACCAAAGATTGATTCTTTTTATGAATACCAAATTATGACAAAATTTGAGTCAGAAATGGGTAACTAACCCTCATGTTGAAGCTCTACAAATCCAAACCTGAGACCATCACCAGAAGCGGGGTGTCCACAAATGCGGCAATCCACCACCTGTTGGCACACATGTACATTGTTGTCTCATGAGATGTTCATGGCAATTCACAAATTTTCCATATTATACAACTTCTGTGTGGTCAATAATAATACTGATTGCGTATCAATTCTCTTTCTTAAAATAATATTCGGTGGCTTCCTTCGATACCATGGAAACTAATAAGCATCATAAACAAATCCTGGCAGAAGTAAGGCGCATTGGAGAACACTTTAAAGGCATGTCTATATATATGTAACGAACTGAATTTGTATATCCTTTAATTTTCACTTTGGTTCATGTTTGTTTAAAATTTTCACTTTACAAAACCTACTAGCTATACTAGACAGAGCGAATCATCATTAACATGCAATGTTATATCAGCATTACAAAAGCTCTAGATGCAAGTTGTGGACTACATAATAAACCCATTTTATATGAAAATTGTAGAATTGGCATAATTCTATAATATATATGGAGCATATGCATTTCCTGCCCTCTCCAATCTTCCTAGATACAGTTTAAACTAACATGGACCATGCATATCAACACACTCAGACACATGTATAACACGTCATGAAATTATACAAAAAGGATTAATCTTTAATGTGTCTTATCCAATCCAGTCCTTGTTCATTACATATTTATGGCGGCAAATATATGGTTCTCATCAATGTTGTCATCCTGTCCTGTATAAACGGCTATGCCCTCTTCCGGATTATCCACTTTTGGCTTTGTAAAGTTTGAGTAAAATCAAATTGTGCTCAAAAGTGCCGATGTGACAAAAGCGCTTTGAATACATGCATCTGCAATACAATTATATTTTTGGCGGATACAATAATTTTATTTGCATGGAAGCATCGAGATATAATCTTAGCAATAGAAATATTTCATATGTAAATCACAGGTTAATTACTCTGTTGAATGCCCCCACCACCACCACACCACCACCAAACACCTATTTCAGCACTATTCATGGAAAGTATGAAATGAAGTGCTTAGCTAACATATCTGAACATAAAATGCTTTATTAAGTAATTTCAGCCTTAAGTAAACAAGCTATAGCAATCTGATCAAATAGGCTAATAGAGCACCTTATACAAAACATGATGCATGGTATGATTTCGTCATCTATATATATCGTCTCATAGAAACAATAATGCTTGTTGATTGAAAAATAAACTTGATAATGGATCGAAATCTTTTTGTATTAATTCCCATGGCACCAGATCCTTAACGTCTCTCTTTGTTATGTAGAAAAAAACAACACCTTGTTCTACTATGTACTTATATATGCATTCATTTTCCGATTCCAAACAACGAAACTCTAAAAAATGACAAACAAACAATATTAAACTATTAATTAAGTCTTAACTCGTTTTATTACACAATGCAACTTGAGATGATATCATGTAGGGAAAGTTATTTCTCTACCTGCAAATATATATGTAGCACATTGCAACAGAGAATATGCATACAATCTAATCATTAAACATATCAAAGAGACAGCATATAGGTGAAAAGGACATACAGTCCCAAACAACCGAAATATACCAGCCAGCGTTTCCTCAGTGACCTGAACCAAAGACAACAATGACAAACATATTAAATTGACTAAAGTATACCACATATATATATTTATAATACTCAACTTGCTACTAGACTTACAATGTGATCAATATATTTGACAAAGATTGTTCTTTTCACAGTTTCATCCCACTGAGACCTGTGAGACTTGAAAAATGCATTCCTCGGTGTGTATGCATCTTGCCGACTATTGTTTGCAGGTCTCCTCTGTAAAAATATAATTAATGATCACATAAGATAAAGAGCATTCGATAAAAGGAGACAAAGATGTATCTTGCTAGATTGGTATATCATAAGATCATCCTATGCGATAATACTGAATTCCACATAAGGAGCACACAATTTGGAACTGATTGGGACTGCAGAATTCTTTTTTTTAAAAAAAAGATAAGAACCGAAACTGGAAGACATATGACAAAGGTAGCAATACTACTACTACTGTTCAACACTGGACACAATTCCTAGTATATATATTGAGTGGTCCAAAATCTGGAAGCTAGTATGCCCTCAGAAAATGCAAGTTCCTCATAACAACAGCCTCTCCCTACCCTGTCAATACAAGTCATCAAGGTCTTTCTCTCGACACAAGATGTCCCTTGAGTTTTAGCCTAGATGAAGATAGTGGACACTTGTATGCCATTTTATTTATGAACTAGCAGGTAACCCCGCGCTTCGCGCGGGCAACAGTGGACGCTTTGAGGACAAAAAAAAAACTTATCGGGTCGGGTACTGTTCATCGTGATCCGTTACTGACGCTTTGAGGACAAAAAAACCTACCACTTCTAGCTCTCGATCTGTAAATCTCATACCTGCAGGAAGCTAAGAAATTTCTCTAATTCTAGTTTTCCTTCATTGATTTTGAACTGTGACTCGAATTATGCAGAGGTGCTTGGCGGTGTCACTGCTTTGCAACCTAGCAAAGTCAGCTACATTTGTCCGGCAAGTGCCCATGAGGTCGAGCGGTAGTGCCGCAGGTTAAATTTGACGAAAGTTTGAGTGTTTATTTTGACAGGCCTATTCAATCTCCCTCTAAGCTAAGCAGAGATCCTACACATTCTCCTTCCTAAATTATAAGACGTTTTGGCTTTCTATATTCATAATGTATCTAATAGACATATATATATCTAGATGCATAACAAAAACTATAAATTTAGAAAAGTCAAAATGTCTTATAATATGAAACGAAAGGAGTAGGACATAGTCTTGTATAGAAAACAATGGTTACGGTACCGCCTGTGCTGGTCCTCTCCGTCAACTTGAGTTTGATTTAGGATTCACCAGGAAAGTCGGTGGACCCTTTTGTAAAAAATAATTTCTCCTCTCTGCAACTTCTTTCACATAGTTATATTATGAGTTAGCGCTTGGCAAAGCTTCACCTAAGAAGCCAGAAGTCAGAAAAGCTAAACTGAAGTAGTACTAAACTTGAAAAAAAAGCCGTCTTGTTAAAGAGGATCTTATTCTTTTACAGTGCAATGTAAGTTTAAGGTCGGATTTTAGAAAATACTAGCAGGTAACCCCGCGCTTCGCGCGGGCAACAGTGGACGCTTTGAGGACAAAAGGAAAAAAAAAACCTTATCAGGTCGGGTACTGTTCATCGTGATCGGTTACTGACGCTTTGAGGACAAAAAAAAAACCTTATCTGAGTCAAGGGGCGCGCCGGATGAACAGTAATGCGAGGTGACACCCTCAAATTTATAGTCTTTTATAGATAGATAGATAGATGTTTGGGAAGAAAAAAAAGTGGTGCTAGAGAAGGACATGTATCCTCAGAAAATTGCATTGTACTTCCTTTGAGAGCTGTCTTAAGATACTAATGTAAAGCTTCGTAGTTCTTCTTGCTCAGTAATAAGCTTCGTGTTATAGAGCAGCAGCATTAAACTTTAGTTTTTCGGTATTTGTTTCTTATATTTCCCAAGCATACTCAAACAATTTACCCCCAAAGTTGATTAACTCAACAATTACGCTTAATCAAATAACAAAAATATTGCATACAACAAAACTGAGAAATGTCTACCGGCAACTATTAAAAATTAATAATTAGAACCAGGACAAAGTAAATTCCAAGTTCTTATATTATTTCATTAATTCAATAATGAATCAATGGTTCTAGCTTGAATATATTTTTTTGGAAAAAAAAAATTGTGTGAGATCTGTTATGACGACAATATAGATGAATGATAACATGTTGTTTATGTAATAGAGAATAAACTATAGTTTTGTGAGATAAGAATTATATGCTATACAAATTAAACACGCCCCCCCCCCCCAAAAAAAAAAAAAGAAATATCGGTGTCACTCTGCATCCCATTACAAGCACCCACTGGTCTTGGACCTACACCACCCGCGAGTGTACTGGAATTAAGATGAGAATGTGAGCTAGTCTCAGATCTCTAGGGATGATTCTTTCTGGACCCATAAATTAGCACAAGAGGTGAGGAACTCCCCTTATATTTAACTTAGGTAAAATTACACACAACGAATGTAGGACTAATCCAACCGTCCCGCCAAATAGATAGTCCTCTTAGGCACTGTTTGAGAGAGGTAGGGTTTCTCCTCCAAAATTAAATGGCTCCTGGGAATCTTGTGCATTGTACCATGAAGCCTTTTTTTTTCTCTCCCTCTCCCTCAAAAATAAACTGGAAGCCAGCTCCAGGTCCCTCGAGTGAGGGCTGAGAGAAAGAGAATCCCTCCCAATTGAGCTCTTGGTTTCAGGAACCCTCTCTGCCAAGGCAGTATGGATAACCTGTCATGTAGTGGAGAGAACTCACAAGAAAATCGAATACACCAATCAAGAGAATATTGCTCTGTGGAATCAGAAGTTTGTAGCTTATTAACTCCTGGAATTGTACAGCAAGTCGAGCGCTTCCCAGAACCACAACACAAGTTGGTAGTTTCTTTCGAAATGATGGAAGAGAAACATTGATGGCCAATGCACTTAAATCGAGAGAGGATCAGGAGAATTGAGTGTGGCTGCGGCTGGCACAGTGGAACTTGGCATATATATCTTTCATTTGTCAGGGAGGGGCTCTGAGGACCGAGCCTGTGCGCTACCTTGCTTCGTGCCGGAGGCCTGGAGTCTGGAGCCTGTGCGCTACCTTGCTATATATGTTGGACAGATTCACAGATCATGTTTAGTGTAAATGGAACTATGGGGATCAACAAATCCGTGTCAGAATGAAATAAAAAGAGGGAGGAACCAAGCACAAAGTAATAATTTCAGGCATCTAGCTAGAGAAAAAAAAATTAACCGGGCAAATGTATCAGAGATGCAGCAGCCAGGAACATATTTGTGCCCAACCTTAGCTTCGTGCGTAAGAGAAGCCCTAAAAATTTTCCTCCATAGAACGAAACAAGTGTAGCCCTACTGTACTGCCACTGCCCTAGAAAAGAACAGGGACCTCAAGCAGCAGGGAGCAACAAGAGCCCCTTCAATTCTGCCGCTATGTATGCGTCCACTCCACGCTAGCTAAATTTGAACGACGGGCCTGAATCTGAATCCCCCGATCTGAACCAATTGCGGCTGTTTTCATTTACCGATCGATACCGATCGGATCGGAAGAGCACAGAAAAGGAAAGCGTAGAAAGCACCAAAAGAAGAAAACAGCTGGATCGATCGAATTAATCAGCACGCAGAGGAATGAAACCAGCAAGGAAGCTAGGCCTAGGAGAAGCCATTGAGGAAGACGCGACGACGCGAGCAAGATCGATCGAGGAAACAAGCAAAATGGCAAAGGCAATTGCGTGCGTGCTTACCGCTGCTCTCCCCGTGCCGGCTTTGTTTGGGCGGGCTATCACCACACCGCGGGCGGCGGCAGCCGCCGCCGCTTTCCCCCAGGTGGTCGGGATGAACTCTGGAGCGTCGACCGAGAGCTGCTTCCTGCTGCCCCCAAGGCGCCACCACGGGAGGAAATCCCTGGCGTCAGGGTTCAGCGCGTCGGCCGCCAGCTCCCTCCTCGCCGCCGTCACGATGCTCACCTGCGCCATGGCTCGCTCGTCGTCGTCGCTGGTGGTGGTGATGGTGGTGGCGGCCGCCGCGCGCCGTACTCGTGAGCCACGCGCCCACGGACGACTGCAGTGGTGTGTTTGCGTGCGGACGATCTCCTGCTGGTCCCGGCATGAAATAGAGATGGAAAGCGGGGAAGCAATGCAACGCCCTAGCCACAGTGTGTTGTCTCTAGCAGCCCTTCGACGTCGTCACACTGAAGCCTGAGGCCATTACCGACGCTGTCACTTCTAGAATAACTCACTGACAGTGGGGCAGCAATAGTGTTGGGACCGGATGTCAGTCAGTGCAGGTTTCATGCGATCGAGTGACTTGTGAGTGGTGGCCACTGACAGAAACCGTCTCCCTGAAACAAGGGCTGGCGCCCATTCACCCGGGGCCCACTAGTCAGTGAGGGAGAGCACAGTAGTAGAATGGTTTCAATGCCTGCCTAAGAATAACATGGACACCTTTTTTTTGTGTGTCCGTTATTACCATGGTGATTCAAAATCAACTGCGGTCAAATGTACATATGTACATATTTTGTATTCTCTCTTTAAAGTGAGAGAATGGGATTTTTGTGATTCCCCTTGTCATGTGGCAATCACTAAAACTTGATGTTTCATATTTCCTATTCGAGGTTTAATATATATGTACACTCCAACTTCACGTCTAAAACTTACAGTTCACATGACCAATCCACTGGCATAATTCTAAATTTCACCTCTCGCGTTAATTGAACGGCTAGCGTATATGATTGCATCATATATAGTTGCTGGGAAAATATAGAGAAATGAGTATGTCATTATATAAATGAATGACCATAATTCCATGCATCAAGGCTATTCACAGTTATTTTTGTCGATGTTGCTTCGTTATGGATGTGTGTTATAAGGATGAAAACGGAACGGAAATATCCCAAACCGAACCGCATCGTTTTCTATATTTAATCCGATCGAATCCGTATTTTCTTGTCCGACTTTACCGTTTTCGCTTTCGCATTTGAGATGTTTCGTATTTCAAATGTAAAAGTAGAAAACGGTTTACACATTTTTCGACCGTTTTCTACTTTTCTACTTTTAATTTGAAATATTCCGAATTCAAAATTCGGTTTAAACCGAATTTGGCCAACTGCACAGGTCATACAGCCCAATTACAGGCTGCTCACCACGCAGCTGCGTTCTTTCTACTGGTGGCTAGCTGCCCTCTCTTATAGACGGCGCCCAGCCTCATCTCTCTTATTATGTATTTGGTCGTGCACTTATTTAATGCTATGCACTTGAACTAGATCATGCACTTGTTAGTTGTAAACTTGTTATGTATTTGGTTGTGCACTTGTTTAATGCTATGCACTGTGGGTCGGTATTTCGTATTGAATTTTCGCATACCGACCGTGTTCGATATAATTCCGCTCGAATTGGTTTGTTTCCGAAATTCTAGATATTCCGTAAGTTCGTGTTCGTTTTCGTGTCTGACTTGTCCGCTTTCGCTTTCGTATTTCAAATATAGAAGTAGAAAACGGTTGAGGAGTTTTTCGATCGAGTTCGACCGTTTTCATCCTTAGTTACAAGTGCTAACAACGGCCGTTACTAGATTCCCACATAAACAAAGAAAAATGAGTAGTATGTCGTTATATAATTGTCGGTGTGAAATATGGCCAACAAGTAAATATTTATAGTTTTACCGTACGTTGTGATCGGATGTGGCCTAGCACTCAATGACACAGGATTTATACTGGTTCAGACAACGGGCCCTACATCCAATTGAGGTCGGTTGGTGACTTTATTCTTGAGCCCAGGTGCTTGAAGTTTGCTATGGGGTTATAAACGAGTGAGGAATTAAGTGGGGTGTAAAAGGCCCGGCCGGACTCTAGTCTGAGTGAAAGAGAGTGACGGGGCTCCAACGTATGCTAAGTGTCAGAGCGTGTGCTTTGTGTGCGTCTCTGTGTGCCCGAGCCTGCGAGCTGCTGAGACTGTTGAGACCGTGTTCGGTAGCCTATGTAGCCGTCGAGTCATACTCACGCCGGTTGGGGGCGACTCTTGCAGTCCCGGTGATGGCGGCGATCCCCATGGTGTCAATAGAGGCTGGGTCGGGGGTGACTCTTGCAGTCCCTCCCACGCCGGTTGCGGAGGAGGAGAGGAGGGAAGCTAGGCTCCCTGTCTCGCCCCGTGGAGGAGTGCACGGTTTGCCCACCTGGTCAGAGCTGGAGGGGGCGAAGGAGCCGCAACCAGGCCAGAGGTAGAGCAGGCGTCGGTGAGCCATGGAGTCCTGGTGGTGGACATCCCCTTTGACGGCGAGGAAGACACCGGGGTGGAGCCACCAACCATCTCGCCATCCTGGGAGTTGGTGATGATCCGGTCGTCGCTTGATACTGCGATGGCTGGATCTTCCGGCGGGTCGGGGGCGACCCCCGAGCTGGTGTGGCCTTGCCCCGGTGAGGTGGGAAAGGCCTGGTTCGTCCTTCGTGATGAGGAGGAGGTGAAGCTTTGGCACCTGCTCAGGGAGAGAGGACTATCGATGGAGTCCGATCTCGCCCTTACCAAGGCGAAGCTCAAGGAGGCCTTGGAGAGGGTTGAGCTCATCCATCAGGCCATGACTGTAGACCTACCACACGTTGCGTAGGTATGTTTTTTGTGTTCCTGGTGTTGTCTTTGATTCCTTGGCATTTAAACGGTTGTCTCAGCACGCCTGCTTCTTGTCTCGCAGGACCTAGAGATGATGTCGATCCGCAAGTCCCGGTTTCTCTAGGAGGAGCACGGTCGGATGGAGCAAGAAGCGGTGGCATTGCAGTGGGTTGACACGCTCATGCACAAGCTAGAGTCCGCCCGTCGTGAGTCCTAAGACTGGGTGGCCGAGGCAACGGGAGCACAGGCGGTGGAGCTGCGTGCGATCGAGCGGGCGACTGCTGCCGAGCAGAAACTTGTCGCGGCGAAGGCCCACTTGGCGGAGACCGAGGCGGCACTCAGGAAGTCCCTGGAGGCTCTAGAAGCAGAGCGGAAGGCCCGGTCGAACGCCGAGCGAGAGGTCGTCGCGCTTCGGGGGCAGATGCTCGGGGTAGAGGAGTCGAACACTCGGCTACTCGAGAGGGTGCCCCAGCAAGAGGAAGGGCTTTGCATTCTTGAAAGCGCCCGCCTTGGTACATACCTATTCTACCCTCAGTTGATGCCTTGAATTTTTCTTTTCCATGCTTTTGAATTTGTCATCTGTTTCCAGAACTAGGTGGAAAGATCGGCTCTCTGGAGCAAGAGCTGCAGATGGTCAAAACAGCCATTGGTCAGAGAGCGGAGGTGCTAGCCTAGTCCCTTGAGGAGCAACGTGCTCTCGAGGGAGAGCTCGATCAGCTTCGCAACATCAGTCGGTGATCCCGTGGGTCCACAAGTGGTATCAGAGCTTCGTACAAGCGCCGTCGTCATTCTAACCGATGGCGATGATGGTGGTTTGAGTTGGGCAACGGCGATGCAACGCACCGCCATAGCTGCCCAACCACTCACCGGAGGTAGTTGTTCGACGCAGTCTGCGGAGGTCACGGCACCACTTGGCCGACGCCGACTCGCACTAACTACGGAGTGTGGTCGGTGACCATGAAGGTCAAGCTCGAGCCCGGCAAAACTCTAGAATGCTCGTTGATAAGGGCACCGACGTGGAAGAAGACGACATGTCGGCGTTGGAGGCTATCCTCGCTGCTGCATCTGCGTGTGAGTCTGAGGAACCATTGGGGATGAAAAGCTCAACTAAGGAGGCGTGGGAGGCCATTGCGGCGATCTTGGCGTCGGTTCCGACCGCGCAAAAAGAAGGCGACAACCCGGCCACGAAAGCGAGAGTACGCAAACCTCAAGTTTAAGGATGGTGAAATAGTGGAGGACTTTTCCCTCCGCTGCAGACGCTCATCGCCAAGTCAAGAACCCACGGCGTCACCATCGACGAAGAGGAGGCGGTCTCCAAATTCCTCCACTCCGTGCCGGCAAAGTACATCTAGATCGCTCTCTCCATAGAGACGATGCTGGACTTGTCTACCCTCACCATCGAGGATGTGGCAGGCCGTCTGCGGGCGGTGGACGAGCACCTAGAGCAGGCGACAGCAACAAAGGACAGCGGAAAACTCCTGCTAATGGAAGAGGAATGGGCTGCTCGGCGAAACTCCGGGAAGGCAGCCTCCTCCAGTCGCGGTGGCAACGGCAAACATCACGGCAGGGCTTCTTCGGAGAAGAAGCAAATCGACTCCAACGTATGTCGGTGTTGCGGGAAGATGGGCCATTGGGCACGGGAGTGCCCAAATCGCAAGAAGGAAAAGAAGGCTCAGGCTCACCTGGCGAAAGCCGATGATGAGGATGAGGCCACTATCCTTATGGTGACGTTCTGTGCACTGCACAACGTCGAGGCCATGGAGAGGGAAGAGGCGACAACGGTGGAAGGATCTAGCAAGGCCCTGAAGACCATCAACCTCGATGAACCACGTGCCCAAGTCCATCTCGAGCGTGTGGGCGCCGACTAGGAGCAGCGGTGGTATCTAGACTCTGGTGCCAGTAACCACATGATGGGCTCCAAGGACTCCTTCTCCGAGCTCGACGGTGATGTTACTGGTACGGTGAAGTTTGGTGACGGCTCAAGGGTGGCCATCCAAGGGCGCGGCACCATCATCTTCAGATGCCAGAACGGGGAGCACCGCGCGCTAACGGATGTATACTATATCCCGCAACAAGCATTCCAAAGATCATCGGCATTGGTCACCGGATGAGCGCAGAGCGAGGTTCGATCAAGGACGGCATTCGAGGATCGAGACCGGGGCAAACGACTTCTAATCAAGGTGAAGAGGTCCTCGAACGGTTGTACCGCTTTCGACACGAAGGTAGAGCGGATGGGTCTCGCTGACGGCAAGGCACTCCGAGGAGCCATGGATATGGCATGCCCGGTTCGGACATCTCAGCTTCAACGCGCTTGGTCGGCTGAGGAAGATGGTCCGAGGGCTACCCCACATCAAGCACGGAGGCGAGCTGTGTGACAG